CCATAAAAAATTACAAAATATGATTTAAACATGCAAAATTAATGTCAATTTTTTTAATTCTTTTATGTATGAATTGTGTTTGGAAATAAATGTTTTTGGAACTTCATAAAAAAAATGTGATTGGCATTCAAATCTGTTTCCTAATAATAGCATTGTTTCCGTTATACAATATAGTAAATTTGAATTCAGTAGCATCAGTTTTGTGTTGGCTTTAATAATAGAGTAAAGTAAATATTCTGTCTTAAAAATGTATTCACACATCAATCTACTCTAATAATAAGGCTACTACACAATTGGTTATATTGAATACAGATTTTTCATGTTATAAGTTAATTAAATTAATATATATATATATATATACAGAACTTATTCAAGTGTGACATTCTTGCACAAAATGTTTTAGTTCAAATTAAAATTAGTTAATTCCAAAGAATCTGAAATCTTGTCTATCTAATTTTTAAATTATATTGGATGGTATAGAGTTCTAGAAAAATTCTGCGCTGGACTGAGCGCCACGATAATGATGTTCAAAATTTTTTTGAAGAAGCTATGAATGTTAGTCCCTCTGACAGTGACTTGACTGACTTTGAAGATGAAATATTAAACAAACCAAAAGTAATTTATATTTACATCCACAAACCACAGGGTTTGGAACACAAATTGAGTATTTACATGATAATTCACTTGTTTTTTGTAAATCATCACTGTTTGAATTTGATGCATATAAATATATAATACCATTAGTATTAAATAATTTCAGTTCCAAGCCTTGAATTGAATGCAAAAATTAAATTGTTTATTGTATCAACTTAATGTAATTTTATAGACACGTTCACGTACAGTTTCTGAATCATCTTCTAAGAAATCTATTGACATGACTTATACATCGGAATCTGTATGTAAAAAATATTTTTATTGATACTGTTAACAACTAGTAATTTTAACATTTGTAGAAACTTCATAGTACTTTCCAGTATGTTTATAATATAATTATTTATTAGATTTAAGTGTACATTTTACAAATTTGATTGCAGAAACGCACAAGACAATCGGTTGATGAAAATATAATTACTCCTAAAAGTGTAAATATTTGTGACAGTTTTTAAATTTGTGTTTTTTGAAAAACAATATTTTGCTAATACAGACAATTTTATGATCTTAGAATAAAAAAGGTAGAAAAATATCAATAGTTGATGAAGATGAAGATTTTTACAATAATGTTAGGAATACTCCAATTAAAGTAAGTATTATTAAATGAAGTACACATGTTAATACTTATTTCAATAGATATTTATTTTGTTAATAACATTTTTTGATTTAATTTATGTAACTTTTAAATTTAAAATCATAACTGCTGATTGGAATTGCTTAAACTCACTAACCAAGTAAAGACAATATCTTTATATCAGCTATTCAAATCAATTAAGTGAATGAATATTTTGATMAACCATGYATTAATACTATTAATAGTATCACTGTCACAATTACACATGTGTCAATGACATGATACATACCGAAGTAGTAGATAAATATATTACTCATAAAATACAAACATAATTTAGAAGAATTTAATAAAATCAGCACTTTGGAGCAGGGGTCTCCAATCTTTTTT